TGTATTTATCAGTTTACACGCATATACATGTATGCACACGTAAATAGGGAGGACCCATCGGTCTCTGCAGGTTAGGGATACAAAACATAATCCAAGGTGGCTGCAACAACAAATAAGGTTGATTTCAATAATGCCTTTAAACCCATGTATAAAACAAGGTTGGGTCACATACTTAAATTCGTTGAAGCCTTGGTCATAAAATGGCTCAAACCTGTCTTATGTGTCCGAAAGTTATTTGTTATTACTTTAAACCTGCCAATTTAGAACCAAAGTTCAATTTGCTTCATAATATTTTCAAACTCTTCTTTGTTTTTGTTTTTTCTTTCTTACCCACAGCTTTGCGTCATTTCCCTATGCATTATTTGTGACGTTGATCTGTATTGTAATGATTCATGCCTTCTTGCTTTCTATAAAAACTGTATGACAAGCACGTGTGTAATCAGAATGTCCGGAATGTGTTGCACAAATACATTACACGTCTCAGATAAACTAAGTCTTCTTATTGTGCTGTCAAAATTCATAAAGGGAACTAACTGCTTTAAATATTACTACTGAGATAATGAATAGCCATATCAAAACATGCCTACGCAAGTATCGCCCATAAACCAACCAAATCAATTCAAGACTGATCCCAAACTGATTTAATTTACAGAACCACTGAAAATCAGATAGTGTTGAACTGCTTTTTCCGCCTAGCTTGAGTAAATAGGCTCAGTTCGTAGCCTAAAGATCTTTGATTCGATGTCTGGTGGGGTCATGGGTGCGTACACCTATAGTGTCACAGATTAGGACAAAACATATGTCAGTCTTGAAATGACTGCAAGGCAACACTTTAAATTCACTTCAGTCTATACTATGTCAACCAAAAGACTCAAAGGCGAAGGAAGACAATACAATGTCAGTTTGGTCTTTGCTTTCACAAATACAAATCAGTTGTCACAAGACGCGATATCTATTTCTTCTTATCAATGCATGAAGACGACTGTGGATACCAATCCGACTTAAAAAGCATAAAAATTTTAGACCAAGGAAACATCGAATATGTTAAGGAATTCCCAGCAGTCTGGTGTTTAGGCGAATCCGCAATCAACAAACACTTTGGCATATATATATCACACGTATCAAATAATGAAAATGAAGTCGGATTAATATATATGTGCAAAATGCTGGCGCTCTGGTAGTATGTAACTCCATAGCCTTCCGTCAGCCATCAAGCGCACATTCTACGCCACATCTCTTTCCCTCACATGCCGAACATTTTCGATACCTGTACCAACGATTAAAGAAAGAATTTCTATGGACTCTACGTCAAACCATATCTACTAGTTCACCTGCAGTTGCGGTGACACTTATGTAAGTAGAACCAATAGAATGTTCCGGTGTCGTGGAAAAGAGCATGTTTCAAAATGGTCATTAAAAAACACAGAAAATCCGAATACAATCAGTCTGAATAGAAATCCAGCATCATCCATTGCAAAGCATTTATTAATGTCAGGTCACAAAATCAATATTAATTAATGACTGCTTCACAATTATTTCATATAATTTTAATTCAAGGTTATTGAAGGTGATGAAAGTACTTTGGATTAATTAATCACATGCATCCTAAACTATGTGTACAAAAAACATAAGGCTTCAATTACTGTCGCCTACCATGGACTACTTGACCTATTTATTAAATATGATTGGTCATTAGTATGTACTTTTGGTTTTATACAGCTGAGTAATTGTCATGCCTTTTATTTTATTTTACTATTGTTAACCATGTTAGTTGTAAAGCGGTTGTAAAGAAACTACGAAATGATATCATCTCGCGAAATTTCTCTTCTTAATGCCTTATTCAAATTTATCAAAGGGACTAATTGTTTCAATTCCATATTAGTTTGTTTATTAGGTATATTACACAACAAACAGTATTATTTACTGGATGAGGTCTCAAACACAACTTATTGCTGTTCATAAAATCGTACCCATTATAACCACACAACTTCGAAACTTTCGTTTTATAGTTTTCTTCATCCTTTCCAATCGTCGTAGGGGTTGTAGGATTTTCGAGATGTCTAGGTGAACAGCTGTTGAATCACTTCCATTACACGTATTGTCTTCAGTCGATTCAATGAATAAAGCTTCTATCATCAATCCCTCCCTCCGCCCTGTTATAATAGATTTAAAAACTGTCATCTTATCCCACTATATTTTATGGTTGTGTGTAATTGCATTTGGTGAGCTGAGCTATCTCCTAGGTTTCTTATCTTATTTGGGTCAACTGATATATATTTTGCTAGGTTTTTGTGCCCTGTTAGTCTGATTGACTCCGTTGTACTACTTTGACCTATGTATTTGACCTGACAACCATTGCAGGCAGGGTATTAGATAAAGTAAATTATTTTGTTGAATTGGCTTTACTGGCAGGATCCCTTAACCAACAAAGTTTGTTTCTAATTGAGTTTATGGGTTTAAATGCCAGCCACTTTTATATTACTGCCTTATTAAGAAATCTATGTAAGGTTTCCGAGGTTCCTTGTTTGTATGGGAGTACTAGTTATGATTCTGATTCTTTACTATTGGTGTTGTTATCATTCTGTGGATGTTTGTCATGCACGTCATCATTATTAAGTTTATTCTTACATTTTCCTAAATACTTCCTGATTAATTTATCAGAGTAATTATTAAGTATCAAAGCTTCTCTTAAATACCTCACTTCCTGTCTTAGATCTCTTAGATACTATTTGTTTAATCATATATTTATTAATATAGGTCGGGATGGTCCGAAATCTAAATATCGATAGTTATAATTGAAATGATTATGAACAATAAATTGTGTTTGAAACGTTATCCAGTGAATAATACTGCTTCACTATATGGTTTATTTAATAACCAAAATACTATAGGAAAAGAAGTCACATGGAGAGGTCAACAATCAGATCAACAAAGTTATATATGTCCAAACCAAATTCACTTTTAACATTTTGAAAAAATTTGGGCATTGGGTATATGATATTCATTATAATAAAGGCTTTTTTGTATTGCCCAATGAATGAAAAACAAAACGATATTGTGTTTTTTTGTTCAGAGATCACAAAGAACGTCTAATACCATCAGAAGCACTTCATATCAAGTGGAATCAAAATTGCTTGAATGGGAATAATGGACTAAAACAGAATCTGACCTGGTTACAACACCTCCCTCCCCCCATCAAGTGACAAAACGAACACGAATGTGATAAGCAAGTTCACTATGTAAACACACACTGCTTTTATAATTTTACACACTGATCAAATCCAACAATCTACACTTGGTTTTGTTATCTTTACCAACTGACCAACTTGACAACCAAAAATAACCCCAGCCAGAAGAACGATGATCAAGTTAGTAAACTTTGTTTTGATATCATAACAGATGTACTATCAGCTTTGTTATTTAGTTTAGTGATCTTCATTATTATTTTGACTTTCAAAATGTTCCCCCTTTTAACTTGACCTAAGTCTATTTTCTTACCCCTTAACTCTTAGTTATGTATATGCTGAGATTTTGTAAATTCCGGTTTAATAATACTTTGATAAAGCTATTAGCAGCATTAAGTAGCGAAACGTCAGTAAAAACAATATCGTTTTGTTTTTCATTCATTGGGAAATACAAATAATGGAGATCAACAAAGAAATCATTATCAGTACATTGTGGAAAAGAGATTGAAAAAAGAAAGTTCCAGAAATAATCAATCACGTTCAGGTTCATTAGGAGAGACAGTAAATAAATTCATAGGCAAGTTCTAAGTTCTAACTTCATAACAAATTAATCCTGTAGTGGTTGTCTGGAAAGGCAATGAAGGCTTCACTATTCAACCGTCTACCTCAGATAATGCAAATATCTACATCAATATCATCCACCTCAGTTAAAAAAACCTTCTACATCATTTCTGTTCTCGTTACCTGCATACTTCATTAAATGTTAAGAGGAATGAAAGAGAATTTTTAACCTGTGAGTGATATTGTCATTACCAACATATCAGTTTGCAACAACTCACTCAATATATGCCCACTATATGCCCACTTGAGTTCTCCTTTTGCTAGCCAGGCTGGCTAGTCAGATTCAACCTCTAGAATAAAGCTATTGATTAAGTGGGCATTACTGAAGGTTCAGAGTGGGTTTCCGAGATCCAAATTTTGATCAAAAATAATGAAACTATCATTAATATATCCCTCGTAGAGATTCTCACCCAAACACTGACTTCACTGTAGGAGTTGAATCTGACTCGATGTTCAACTGCTAAGAAACAGTGATAACTCGCTGAAGAGATCCATCAGCAACAAGCACACATGGAGCGGTTAGTTTATCACTTTTTAGAGTTGTGTCCCTCTAAGTAGAATGAGAAACTTCATATACTACTCTTTTTCCTTGAAGATCTAGGAAATATGTACCAAGGGATCTATTAACGAAGAACTGTGAAATCTCTCAGGAACCTTGATAGGAAATGGTTTGCCAACCAGATTCATAGACAAGAATCTAAAACCAAAGAGAATGTCTGAAAAGGTCCAAGTTGCTTCCAAAAGTGATACTGATTTTTAATCTTGAATTTAAAAGTGACACTGAAGCAGAAATTCTCGGTAAACAGCTTTTGAAATCTCTCAGTTAAACATACTTCTCCGCCAGCCTACGAATGACATTTTTTTACGAGAAACTATTCAGCCAGCACGTGAAAGACAAGCTGTTGCTCACATTGGGCCACTTCAACATGCATATACCAGTTCACGTGCTCGTGTGGAGCTTACTACATTGGTCTTTTCATGCGTCCACTTGTAAAACGCTCTTGGGAACACTATTCAATCTGAATATTAACAAATGACTTCAGCGGTGGTTAGCTATGAATAATGGCCGCTCGAAAGAGTCAAGTGTTCATCGATTCTAGTCATTTACATCGATAATACCAGCGCATATTCCTATCAGAAATCCTTATTATATATTTCAAAAGAAGATTAAAATATCCACGATATCTACTTCATTTATCTATACTTACCATTACTTGTAGATCTTGTATTCGATACAATATCTGACGGTCTAATACCAATATGAAAAAGCAATGTTGTTAATCCACCAATACCGATGATAGTGAAACCAAGTTTCTGAAAGGCTGGTATATCATCTTTACCAAAATCAATAAAAGATATCGATGTAGGCGATACCTGATTTGAACATTTTGATAATGGATGAGATGTCATCACCATAGGTAGGAGTAATAAATCATTATGTTCAACGAGTGATGATACATTAGAAGTTATATAATGTTTTCCAGTAATACTCGTATTATCATTATATTATTGGAAGTGTTGATGTCGATATGACTGTTGACAGAATGTTGATGTTCCAGTAAAAGAAATGTACTAATATAAACAACTAGATTACTAATCACAGTGAATAGATATCGTAAAGAGGTTAGTAAAGTGCGTTCACTTGGTTCCAAGGATAATTCATTCATTAAAGCCAGATGTGTAATTTGAACTGCTGCCCAACCCGTCTAAATAAATATAAAGAAAAGAAAAGAAAAAATAATACAATTCAGAGAAGAAGAAAATTTTTTTATGTAGAATAGAAACTACTGACTTGTAAAGTATACAATTCCGAATGGAAATTCACTACAGTTCCCGCTTTGAAAGCTCAAAACATGATTCGTTGGCTGACTGCGTCTTAACATAAAACTTAGCAAAGAAGTTCAGCAGTTCAAGTTACCATATCCCATGTAGTGTGTGTGTGTGAGCTAAGGTGGACAAGAGAGAGAAGAAGATTCAGAAATATGGGGGAGAAATAACAGTTGGAAAATGTGACGGTTTCATGGATATGAGAGATCACGAATAGGGAATGCATCTGCGTCATTGAGAACGAGGATTTTGAGCCATATCACCACAACAGTCTCATGCATTTAGTTCTTAGCATACCAAGGACCTCAAACAGTCAGTCTGCACTTCCCTCTGTGACCCATACCAACTTTCAAAGGCTTCATGGACTAGCCGTCTAGCCATCCCTAACTCTTTTCCAACTTCATTCTATTTCAGCTAATATTGCCCGTTAAGCTCAAAATATTCTTGATATATAAGGTCTATCTAACACCGAAAAAATTGAGAAGGCTATTTGTTATTAGATGATTGGAGGCAATTGGTAGGAAGTCCTGGACCTAGGTTTCGTCTCTGTTGGCACTCATCAGCAAGGCATATCTGCAACCTTGAAGGAACTCATATACCTTCTGAGATTCGAACCCGCGTCACCTAGCGATGGCGATCCACCTATAATGGTGGCCACATTACAGACTTGACTGAGAGAATTCAGTCTACATCAAGTGAAGGACTAGACACGTGACACGAGTGAATTAGTGTCCAATCAAAGTAAGCTGCGTGTTAGCCATTTCAAAATGGTCTAACTACCATGTTTAGATATGAGTCACTTCTGACTACTGAAAACAATCAGTAGTACAGATGATCTTACTAATAACATATATATTATTTATTTCACATTCTACTTTTGGGTACTACTTATAACTGTAATAAGCATAGATGAAATAACAGTGTGCTTTCACTAGCTGAATTACGACTGCGCACTTAAATTCTAAAGAATATTTTAACTTAACGGGAAATTTTCATTTTGAGTCAGTCATAAGCACAAGAAGAAATAAATAGCGAACAAAATTCCCTTTTCGACGAATCATTTTCAAGGGCTGTACGATTGTATTTATACTTAACAAAGAGTATACAACAGAGACTGAGTTAAGATCTCTACGTGATAACCTACTGAAAAACGGATAGCCATCTCGATTTATCGACAGAAATATTTGAGAAAAACCCCCGTCACCTATAGTTGCGACTGTTCTTCATGAGCCTAGAGTTCAAAGGCTACGCTGAAGTAGGAATTTTTGACGACCGACTTACCTTATATCTGAAAAAACATTCCAAACAGCCAATTTACGAATCAAATTCTCCAGCAGACAGTTAATTCAGTCATGCATTAAGGATAAGATATTGATTTTACCAACCTCGGTGTTAATTTATCAGTTTACTTGCTCGTGTAGAGCAAAGTGTATCTGCCTTCAAACAGTGTCAAGTTTGCAGACGTATTCTGGAACACTGCCTAACCAGAGGAGAAAAGAAGAACATCAGTAATTCTATCCTCAAACAACTTGTCGACTTTAAACATCGGGCACTCCAGTGTGATTGCTGCACAGAGTTCCTCAATACCACAAGAAAAGACTTCAAATACACCATTTAGGCATAACTGAATTACTAGCTTTCTCAGGACCTGGAACCGGAACTCTGATTTCAGAATCCCTACATATACCCATTCGCCTTAACATGGCTACAGTAATACGTCTGTGGCACAGCGGTTAGGACTCTCACCGACCATGCAAATGGTCTGGGATTCTATCCCCTGCCAACACCCACTCGATATCTATGGTCGGCCTGGAAAATTTGGGCTACCGATATCGCATGCTGAAAATTCCATACTTCTACCAAAAATACGGTGTGGTTTCAAGCTATAACCAAAATTTAAAAAATTTAAAAAAAAATAATTTTGTTTCAATTTATTTAAAACAGTTAGTCCCTTTTATAAATTTTGATAGCATTATTAGAAGATGGAGATTATCTGAAAAATGTGATGTATTTGCACCATACATTTCGAACAATCTGATCCTCCACACATTTGCTTGTCCAGTCGATATATATGAAAAAATTAAGGGCAATTAAATTATACAAAGTGATAAAAAAGAATTAAGAATAATTAACACAAACGTTTGGTAATCCAATCAAATAAGGATTACCAAGGTAGGTTTAGAGTAATAACAAACTGTTTTTGAATACACAAGGAGGGCTTAAGTTTATGAATGGCTATAGCCTCAGAGTATTTCAGTAAACGTCCTTGACCGTTCTTATAGATGACCTTAAAGGCTGAGTTAACATCAACCTTATGGTTCATCTCGATTAAATGTTTAGCTATAGACGAAGTTAATAGTCTGACACCTGTATCTATTGGCTTGTCACAATTCATCTGTTTTTCTAACCATTTTGGGATATGCTCTCCCACCCTCACGTGCAACGCGCGATTACTCCTCCCTATGTATGTATGTCCACACACACACGAAAATTGTTAAATTGTGTGGGATGTGATATAATCACTTGTGCACTTTTGAGGTTTGCAGTGAAGCATATTTTTAGCTTTTTCCACAATTACAAGCTGGACTGCATATTAGGTTCTACGGATGATCGAATTCAACCTTTGTCTCAAAATCCTACTATTTATTTCCCCGTTATATGGTAATTTGATGAAAACCTCTTTCTTAGGGACAGTATGGAGGCTAGCTGACTTCTACACCTGTTTAAAAATTTCAAAGGATATCCGTCTTCAACAAGAGTATCCATCAATATTTCGTTTTCTTTGTCTATAACATCAGCCGTGCAAATACGCTGAATCCTCTTAAATAGACACTTCACCAAGCCTCTCTTATACTGTAATGGACAGAAGCTGTGAAAATTAAGGTATTGCCCTGTCCAAGTGGGCTTTCTGTAGATGGACCGTCTTATTGAGCCATCGTCTCTTCTACTCAGAAGTATGTCTAAAAATGCAAGCTGGTTGCGACTTTCTTCCTCGCATGTAAGACTAATATGATTCTGTACAGAGTTAATTCTGTCTAATAGACGACTCGCATATTCATATATATTGAATTGACAAGTAAATGTGTGATCAGATTGTTCGAAATGTATAGCTCAAATACATCACATTTTTCAATTTATTAATATTTTACAATCACTATTATTGTTTATTAATAACCTCGCATTTTTCATAAGGATTTTATTTTCCATTAGCTTTTGTGCCCTTTATGCATCTACACTGATTAGTCATTTTATTACACTTATAATGTAACTCCGGCTTCTGACTCTTTGCTGATCTCCACATAGTCATCCCTTTCTGGATTGCAGCTGACATTATGCAATACACCTTTCTAGAACAAATTTACCCGTATCTGATTTGTTAAATATAGATACGATTGTACAGCTCTTGAAAATGATCCCTTGTCTCCCGCCCAACTTTCCCTTTTTACCGGAATTACCATCAACTAGGTTATGTTTAGGATTACGTCAGTTGGGAATCAAACCTCGGACCACGTGCGTGGTTGGCTAGCATCCTACGACTGAACCGCCGACGTCGTGTATAGATTTCCTACAGATTATGCTTTACAAGTAAAATTTAAATTGGATATGTAATGATTCACCATTGTGTTGAAAATACACTCTAATAAGTATAAAAATCTAAGATTAACTAAAAATCAATATAGTGATAAGCCTAACCCATTTAATTTGCAAATCTTGATGTCATTATTTTCTTTATTTAATTATTCATTTCCATTGCCTGACAGACTAAGCAGCACAGACAAGAGTTCAAGTGGACATAGAGAAGACTGAGGTGATGAAAATAAACAACCAACCAATAACAGTAAGCACCAATCCCCATCAATGGGGAAAATTTGAAAGAGGTCACTTCCTTCAATTATCCAAGCAGCATCGTTTTAACTACAGGAAGTCGACAGCATGAATTAGGATTTTAAAACCAGCCAGAATCGGATGGACAAGACAGACCTTTATCACTCTGAGATAAGTTTGGAAGTCCTCTGCACTTCGCATAAAGAACAAAATTGGGATTTTCAACACCAATGTTAAGTCACTTTTTCATCTGTATGGGTCAGAAACTTGGCGCGTGTGTCATAAAAAGCATTTTAAACGAACTGCAGACTTTCCTCAACAGCAGCCTTCGGTAACTCCATACTGAAGATCAGGTGGCCAGTTAGAATGAATTAGCAACAAGAACCTCCGGGAAGGAACTAACTGAGAATCTATCGCTCAACAAATATGTAGGAGAGAATGGATATACAGTAGGTACACGCTGAGGATACCATTGCATGGCATCAAGCGCCAGGCCATCGCTCGAGTGGAACCCGAATGGGAAACGACGAATTGGGCATTGGTCGGAGGGTGACGTGGAGGAGATCATATGAGGAGAAGATAAGTGCCTATGGGCAATCGTGGGCCCAGTTATAGAGAACAGCAGAAAATAGAACAAAATGGAGACGTGGTGTTGAAGTCCTATGTTCCACTCGCAGCCCAAGGAAATGATAATTGCCTGTCACTCCTAGTATATTCAATTGTCAAATAAGTGATGCTGAAACATTTTTTTGTTCTGAAAACCGGAGAATTACTGCATAAAGATTAATTCGGGAGAAACAGGTAGTTGACGGCTGTTTCACTCTATATTTAGATTATTTTTAGTAAAACTCCTATGATACTTAATACCATCGAACTCTTGATCATCAAGCCGATCAAGTCGGTAAATTTAGATGTTTTCGTAGAGCTACTGGAGAGGATAGAAGTGGGAACAAATATTGTCTCAACCATTTTTTATATTTGCACTTGTTTAAAATGGAGTTTTCACTTTATATTGAATATATTTTAACAAGTACCCACCAACCTCCCAAGACCAGCAGTGCGGAGCTCTACCAGCTAATCTATGAGACACAGTCGGTCACATGAGTCGTCACTTCATTTTCACGCTTAGATAATAGAGTATCACGCTAGTAATCTGGTTGCTGCAATCAAGATATCCAGTTCCCATTCAAAAGTATACAGACAGATTTAAAAGCGCCCTATACTACAGAAACTGAAGTTCTAATCAGCCTAGGTTCTTAATACAAAAACCGTTGTTTCTTTATTAACAAACCAACTTTCGAAGTAGTATTTACCAATCTTTTATCTGATTAAAAATTCCCATTAAAATCTTTCGAAAGAAAGGTTGCTGAACAAAGAGTACGCTTTTCGGTAACTTTATCATCGGGTCCTACATTTATATATTCATATAATAGTGAATGAAAGAATTAGTGTTATTAACAGCATTAATGCTGTTTAAATAACATCGAATCAATAATATCAATGGATTACAGTTCAATAGCATCAAAATAACAATAAACTGAATGTCAGAATTATTAAGAAAGATAATAATACAAATTCATGAATTTATAATCTCTAATGAAGGCTGGCCAGGGCAGTAATAGTGGCTGGACTTGCTTCCTCTCCAGTACAAAAGAACTTTGGTAAAGACCCTCAGCCACAGAGTTAGAGCTATTTGCTTAGAAGAAGTAACTGAAGATGAACCAGGGATTGTATATGATACCTTGATTGAAAATAGCTGTCGCGACAAATTTATCAAGACACACATGACAAAGAAAGCGGAAAACGACTACCCACTATTCATAAACAAGAAGCCTTTATACATACGACTGCAATTCAAGGGTGATATACCTCGCGAAATCAGTTCAGAAAACTTTCAATGCTAGCAAACTACACGTCCTGTTCTCTACAGGACCTATGGTGATTCCTCGATTGAAAGATGAAGTACCCAGACTAGCTACCTCTTCGTGGATCTGCCAATTCAACTGCTCTTGTGCAGCGAGTTATATTGGTAGTTGCTCCAGGAACTTGATTTTTCGTGCTCGAGAACATCTCCCTGTATGGATAAGTAACGGTGCTGTGAACACCATCAACAGTTTGATATTAGTCCACCTGGCCCACACCGATCGGCCACAAAACCAGCATTGAAGAATCCTTCTCTATCATCCACCGGGAACCAAATAAATTGCCAAAAACATCGAGGAACCGCATGCTCCAAACAGTAGAGGCTATCGCGATTCACCTGAAACAACCAGTGATCTGTGCGGTCGGTCGGTTTTCGACATAGAACTTTGCACATAAGTGCGGCAGTTCAAGTCGCCACACTCCATGTAGCACACAAAGCAAGAGAAGAAAGTAGGAGAAATGCATAATAATATAGACAGTAAAGAGAGGTGTGAGACAGAGAAATAGTAATAACGAAGAACAATATAGTTTTATTGGATATTATAAGTCACAAGGAGTGGATGCATATGTGCCATTTAGAACGATTTTGAGCCATGTCACCAATTGTTTCCATCCATTGGTTTTTACCATCCCGAGGACCCCAACCAGGAAGTCTACACCTTTCTACGTGGCCTAGACTTACTGTTATAGATTTCATTGACTGGTGCCATGTTTTCGTTTGACCGCCGCTAACTCTTTTCTAGCCTGGCCCTATATCAGCTAACATTGCTTATTGTCGAGGAAGGCGATGACTACGTAACACATGTCCTAACCATCTCAGTCGGTGTAATTCACAGTCTCGTCGACTGATTCCCTCGCCTTACCTAGCACTCGACGCCTAACCTCAATATTGCTCACCCCATTATACCACTTCACACGGGAGATAGAACGCAGACACCTATGATCAAAGACAGCTAGCCAGGCTTTTCATGTCTTCCACTCTCAATGGCCAGGTCTCACAGCCATAAAGGAGGACGGAGCGGACTGATGAGCAGTACACACGCCCTTTGGTCGGTAGTCGGATATCACGTCTACGCCAGAGACGGCGTAAACTGGAATATGCGAAACTAGCCCTCTCTATTCGTACTGAGATTTCGTCGGAGATCAACCCGTTGGGGCTGATGGTACTTCCCAAGTGATTTGTGCGCGAAAGAAGCAAGCCACTACTACTATCCTGGCTGGCCTTCAGTAGAGATTATAAATTCATGAATTTGTATTGTTTTCTTTCTTAATTTTTCTGACATTCAGTTTATTGTTATGTTGGTGCTATTGAACTGTAATCCATTGGTATTATTATTATTGATTCGATGTTATTAAAACAACATTCATGTTGTTAATAACCCTAACTCATTCACTATTATTTGTATATATAACTGTAGAACCTGATGATGAAATTATCGAAAAGAACATTCCTTGTTCAGTAAACATTCGTTTGAAAAATCTTTTATCTCTCTTGTGAAATTATTAAGGAAAACAAGAACTCACCTGAAATATCGCCACCAACGGTAAGTAATAAATCATTTTAGCCAATGTACTGACATCCGATGAACCAAGTGGTGGACCAAATATTAATGGAAATGAAAAAATGATCAAAGCACTTCCGCCTAGATGCCATATTTTACGTCCAAATGGTCGAATTGCTCTTAAACAACACTGACACCGTTGAGATAAAGAAGGATTTGATGTCCTCGAAATATTCACTGCTGTAACAGTACTGTCATCCATACCATTACTATTACTGCCAGTGGTTGCAGTAGAACGATAGTTTGGTATACACTTCTGTTCATGATCTTTTAATGGTTGATGAGAATTGTGTAGAAGACTATCTGATGTAGATGTACGCGGTCGTGATAATGGTGATGGTGGTGAGGATGAGGATGAAACATGCGATTGAGAAGATAGTTTATCTGAGAATACACCGATTAATGGGGTTACTAAACCGTCGACAACTTGACCAACAAGTACAATTAAACCAGCCATACTTGTTGGTATGCCAATACCGAATTTAAAAAATACCAGTGTATATGTAAACCAGACAGATGCGCATAAATCATTTAAAACATGTCCAATTGCATAGGAGAAACGTACACGCCATATCGATCTCATGATGATGATTAGAAGGATTTAAACCTAAAAGTGAAGAGTTAACCAAGAAAAGGAAATCCCTTTAATTAATAACAAGGAGAATAGGCTTTAAACTAAACTTAAAATTATACTAAAAATCAATAAACATTCTAATGAAACATTTGTATAAAATTATATTTCACAAAATCATCGTGTTTTCACTCTCCATTGGCTGCAACAGAATGCATATCCTAAATCCGTAGCTGTCGAGTCACCTGACAACTCCAGTAGGTCGAATAAAGCAGCTCAATCTTCAGAAAGAAGACAAAGCAATAAGTCCGACAGGGTGCTTCTACTAAACTCTAATCCTAAACACCATAATTTTGAAAATACGTCTAATCATAAAATTCTAGATACTAACAGTTTGAATAGACATGAAGGCGTGATGTTAGCTGATGTATAGGAAATCCTTATTAATAAATAAAAAATGGATATGTATCACTAATTATTAATACTTGGTCAAAATTCTCGACTGTCCATATCTTCTTATGGAGACGTTAAGAAATGTTTTACAACTGTTTACCCACACACACACAAATACACACTCTGTTTAAAGTGTTTAACAAAGGTAGACCAATATTTGTAAGTCCGGGGTCAAATTTTGATCACAGTTCATAAAATTTTGTTTATTATACATGTTGATACTTGTTGAATGACTCATGATTGGACAAAGTTTTTAAAAACAAGTGATTTTCCTTTTTTATATAAACCCCTGTTATGTTAATTTCGATTAATTTCCCTGAAGAAGTTCGGACCAGATTTCCGAACGAAACGTTGGAATTACTCATTTCAATCTCGCTGAGATTTTACAAATATAATTTTATACAAATGTCTACTTCTCACTCGGCGCCCAAATATTTTAGAAATATTCTGTCAAATCTTGACGACGGTTCATTTGAATTCTAATGAAACAATTTAGAAAAGAAAGACTTCAAATGAGTTAAAAAGTCATTGAAAATAAAACAGCACTGGATAGCTGTGCTGTCCTGGTCTGAGTCTCTTCAGCAGTACCTACCTATGACAATAATAGAAGTCGAACACTGAACCTTCAGAGTGCAAGCTGAGACCACTGACTATTCAATCAATGAGACAGAAACCAATGGCCCAATTACAGCAAACTCATGATATATATATATATATATATATATATATACAGAGAGAGTGTGTGTGTGTGTTAACTCAGGGTCAAGAGTGCATGATCTTTAAAAGTCGTAAACTAAAACGCAAGAGATATCCGATATACCAGAGTTTTCGGTGGTTCTCTAACCGAGGTCAATTCGTGATATAAACTTGAAATCCACTAAATCTCTGCAAAATAATAATAATAATTTGCTTTATTCCAGAAACAGCACCAGTGGTACAGTGTGGAATTTTCAGCACATATCTACAATATTTGCATCTAATTTTATGCAACTTTTAAAAGGAGTATTTCAAAAAATAAATATAAAGACGACAACAACAAAAAAAACAAAAATAATTTACAAAAATGCAAAAAAATACCAAGAAGTAGAAAGGAAAATAAACAGCATAAAATAATATCTCAGTATTGGGTAGTGGAAGCTATGATATCATTGTGCATGGTGACAGTAAAGCCGTAGTAATACAAGAAGTTATGAAATGATACTTAAGAAGGTTCATCGCCCAGATGATCAGTTAATTTGGTCAAAATAACACTAAACAATCATAAAATAACATTTCAGGGTCGTTTTTTTATTGTCAGGTCTAATGCGGTGTTTGTAGTGGAAGTGTGAGTAATCCTGCATAATACAACATTTTTAAGATGGTGATAATGGCGTTCACAACCAAGATTGTCAGTTAATATTGCTGAACAAAAACAAAAAAACAACAACCACAAAAATTAATAATTACATGATGGTTAATGACAGGATAATTTTGTAATACTCATAGTACTAATATTGTCGGAACCAGTAGATACACTAAAGAAGGAATAGAGTAAAGCACAATAAAGTAAGCCAATGTTAATAATTTAGGTAGCTAAGTATGTTTAAGAAGGAGTTCCATATAGAATACAAAATAAGAGAGAAATAAAAGAGCCTAAAATCATGTTATTAACAACAAAGCAAGTCACAGGTTTCGCGCTCAACATTGTCTCTGTCACTTAGAACACTAGCCAAATATGGTATCGTTGAGTTCCTGTACTTGGTTGTACGAGCATAGATTATTTTATACTGATTTCTGGTTCTACTTGATGAGATACAAGGCGAGAGTTGGGAATAAGGGGGTGTTGGGGGTCAGAGAGTATGGTTTTAGACCATTCTTCGCATGTATTCAGATGCCTTTCAACTAATGTAGTGACTAGCTGACTGAGTTTTACACCACTAGTCCTACTAACTACATTCAACATCCTTCTCAGGATGGTATAGTCCTTTTTCAGTAGTCAAGGAAAGACTAACGGGGAGCAGTAAAGTAGAATAGGTAGGACATGAGAGTTGACAAATTGTGAAAGTAGAGGTCGGGTGATTCCAGATTGTCTAAGTTTCTTAATGTAGTAGGTTAGACAGAACACTTTCTTAGAAATCGTTAGAATATGAGATGTCCAAGTAAGTTCGGAAGATAGAACTAGACCGAAGTATTTTGCATTAGACCTAGCTTCAATTTTAGTCCCCTCAATGCAACAGGCTTCATGAGTACTTACTAGTGTTTGTAGATCTCGTTTATGCCTAAAGGAGAAGTCAATAGAACAAGAAAACTGTAAAAAAATCAGCTAAACAAGCTTCAACACATAAGTAGACTTTCACTAAGAATATTTATTTTACAACAGTTTTTGATGATTCATCGGTTTAGGCAGGCAATAATTAATTTTAAAGATCCTTCTACCTACTGTATTCTGCCGTTAATACTGTCGAACTTAACATAATATAAATTGTAAGTTTCCAGACCGTAGGTGTTATGAACTTCCTGGAATAATTTAAGTGCCGAGTCAGATTGATTCATTATAAATTATCTAAATTAATTATTTAATTAAATCTGCTGAAGAAGCTGAGGCTTACACAGCATCAGTGGCACAGGGTCTAAGACGCTCGCCGATCATGCGCATGGTCCGGGGTTCAATCCCCAGCCAAAACACACCTGATATCTATGGTCGGCCTGCTAAATTTGCCCTACCGATATCACATGCTGAAAATTCTATACTTGCACCAAAAATACTGTGTGGAATCAAGCTATAATAAAAATAAAATTTGACATTGAAATCACACATTTATTGTAATTCATCCTCACTATAAGGTTTTAATCTCCTTTCCGTCACATAGCACAAGAGAAATTTGACTTTTGAATCGAATATTTAACTTGATCAATATGAGTTTTAAACCTTAACTGTCTCACACTGATCTGCTTAAATGTTTTCCTTAGTTAGTAGCCTTTTCATTGTTTATGCTCAAATTCATTAAGTCACTGACATATTATACAACCCTAGGCAAACATAAAGCATAGAGATCATGGAGTGAGAACGCACCAATGACCTTGAAAGCATATCATTCGTTGGATTACAGAACCTGCTGTGTAATATGCATCAAAAATCCAGCTCCAGGTGTTGGCTTTCAAGGATTTGATTGGTTTCAGGATTTCATCATGAATAGAAATCGGTTAGAGGACCATGATGAACTCCTGAAACCAATCGAATTCCTGCATACCAACACTCGAATATCAATCTGATGTCCACTAGTGACTAGCTCCATTCAGGTAGGTAGTTACCTGGGGTTCTAGTGGGTAGTCGTGACCAGTGGGTTACAATAGGTCAAGTGTGAGGACAAATACTTGCCAGCGATGACATTGGCTAGCGGTCATGCTCTATCGTGATACGGCAGAATTGAGATTCATGGGTTGGTCATTGGATTGGGTCCCAGTGGCTTAATGGTCTACGAGCATTGTCTCAACTACAAAAGGAACGGACGAGGATGTCAAATCGAGAATCGGGAAGGCGAGAAACACATTCATCAACCTGAAACCAATCTGGAAATCTTCGTCACTCAACTCAGCATCAACAACAAAATTCGGATTTTCAATACAAACGTCAAGTCAGTCAGTTCTTATATACGGATCAGAAACTTGGCAGCGGGTCACAAAGAATATTTCCAACAGCCTGTTGCAGACCCGTATCAACAACTGTCTTCGCTGGCTCTATAATGAAGATCAGATGGCCGAAAAGAATCAACAACAAGAAACTATGGGAACAAGCAAAACATGAACCTATCGCCCAACAAATATTCAGGAGAAAGTGGAGATGGATTGGACACTCGCTGAGGAGGCCACTGGGTGACATCGCGTATCAGGCCAACCCGAAAGGGAAGCGGCGAGTGGGACGTCCAAGGATGACATGGAGGAGATCGTGTGAAGAGGAGTTGAAACAGTATGGATTAACATGGATGCAAGTGAAAAGTGCAGCAGAAGACAGAAGCAAGTGAAGACGTGCAGTTGAAGCCCTATGTTCCACTAGGAACCCAAGGGAACAATAATAATAATAATGGTCTACGAGCTAGCTCGCCTTGTAACCAGGAGGTCCTGGGTTCGAACCCTTGATGTGGATGCGTATTTCTTAAGAGTTCCAAACTAGAACGAAATATCTATCCAGTACTCTCTAGTTTTCTAACGGTCCTCTAACTGATGTCACTTCATGATGAAATTGCTAGTCTATTTACCAGAAAATTTTAAATAATAATGGAACACGATATTAAAGACAATATTTTACTCTTACGGAACTGAAAAATACTTCTCCAGTTTTCAGGTTTCTTAGGTATCAAAACGGTTTCATAAACATATTATTAAGAAGGAAAATACAGGTAATAATAAAACATCCTAACCCATAATCCTTACCTCAACCCTAATACTTACCTAAAACCTAATCGTTACCTCAACAGTAATATTAATCCTGACCTTAACGTGCTATCAGCTAACTATTGGAACAGTACTCAAAAACAAGATCAGGATAAAATTTGCCCATAAATTCGTGCAGTGTTCAAACTGACGCGTTATCCAATGAATGGTATCCGCTCAAGGTCATTAATGTGTTCGCCCTCTGTGGTCGCTATTCTTTTTTTGGTTCAACCCTGCACTGAGACACATGAAAATTCAAAATAAATCTAGTTACAAATTGACACCAATAAGAGCAGCACTGGACAACTATTTCGTCTCAGTTTAAGACTCTTTAGCAGTGCACACATATGAAACCACTTGAACGTTTATCATCAATGAACAGTGGTGTAACATCAAGTTTTCTGCGTTTTTTTATTTGATTACTGAATTTTATATAAGTCTGTCTCTTCTAAACAAATTATTCACATCCAAACAGCGAATTCTTTACTCTGACACACCACCATCTAAAGATATCAACACACACACAGATCGTTACATTAGAAATAGTGGACATATCTCAGATCACGGCGAAAAACCACCATAGTCTTGTGATGATCAACCCCCTTCTTCTTTTCTTCATTTGTATGAAACTCACAGATCAATTAACTACAACGACATATCACACTTTATTATCATAGTGTATGCACAAGTTGGAACATGAGTCAAAATTTGAAATCATAGAGAAATTTAACAAAGTGATAAGCAAAAATCAAATGCCACAGGTTTGTATACTCGGAGCAATCAGCCGATCAGCAATCAAGATTCCTATTTTTAAGACAATGACAGATAAGAAATTATTGAGCGGCATTATAAAATGAGTTGTCAAACGAAAACTCCTTAGAGAAACCACCCCTGACCAATCGATTACAGCCTACATCAATCAATAAAAAGACAACTAAATAGTTCATAAAAAAATAAGTCTCTACACCTTCCCACCAGTTTTGATTGGAAAGATAATGTAAACAAAGAAAGCAATCATTGAAGCTGTGAATGAATGCTGTGCAGACGAAATATTTACTATAGATACTACTATAAGCCGTGACCAGTAGGGTACAGCAGGTTGAAGGTAAGGCAGTAACTCATCGAAGAAGACATTGCCAAATGGTCGCGCTATGTCGCGAATTGGAAGAAGTTAGAATTCAAGGACCATTGGATCGGGTCCCAGTGGCTCAATGTTCTACGAGCTAGCTCGTCTTGTAACCAGAAGGTCCTGGG